GATGTGGACGGAGAGTTAATAAAGCAGTATCTTCGGCGCCTTCATCAGCTGCAGCACTTTGTTCTGCCTCTCCTCGCGCCTCCGAGACAGACAGCCGCGGTCTCCGTGAGGGAGCTTAAGTAGTCCCGTAGCGCCGCGTCAGTGCCGGTCCCATCTCGACGGGCGATTGGATCGCTCCTCTGTCAAATTGGGGTTGTTGCTGTAATTCGGGACCTTTGCAGTGCCGTCCCAATGTGAAGTTTGGTTCATCTTTTGAAATATGTCCAAACAAAAAAATTCTCACAGTAGAAAAGCAGAAGTTTGTGGTCGAACCTGAACGATTTCTCTTTATAGAGTGCTGTTAATCATTTATTGCATAAATACCTGCGAGTGCTGAGTGAAATGTGACCATAGCATCTAGCAAAACTATTTATCAGCTTGTCAGTTATCATGTGATCAGATAGTCCCTAATCTAATCTCTGACTTTTTTTTTTTTACTTTTTGTTAAGACTCAGACACCAAGGCACCGAGAGGTTAGTCAGAGTCTGCTCATAGTTTCATTTTTGTGAATATACATATTCCTAGAAATAATTAGCTAATTTCTATGGTTCTGTTCAAACAGTACGCTGTAAATAAGTCCCAGTTTTTTGTCTCTTACCTGCACAAATCATAGTTTGACTGCTGATAGATTTGTCGATGCAAAGTTTGATGACATCCTTTGGAATTCAAATACTGATAATGTATTAATAGTAAAGTTTTATTATTATTTCCAGTATTTCTGTGATAACATTGTTACCATGTGTTTGACCATGACAATCATTAACAATCTGATATCATGCCAGCTGCAGTCACTCAGTTTTAGTCTCTGTTCAGAAAAATGCTGAAAAATGGGACTCCTTGTGTTGATGCTATACCATACCACCTTTATTTATAAAGCATTTTAACATAAAACCAGAGTTTACAAAGTGCTGTACATGCTAATAGCATAAGTAAAGAAAATTAAAATGAGATAAGATAAGATAAAATAAATAACTAAAAAACTAAAATAAATTGAAACATGTTAAAACAAATTGAGTCAACCCCTCTAATCAATGCCAAAGGCTTCAGCGAATAAATATGTTTTAAGAAGACTTTTAAATTCAGAAAGAGAAGAGGCCTGCCTAACATGCAAGGGTAGATCATTCCACAACTTTGGAGCAACTACAGCAAAAGCACGATCACCTTTAAATTTAAACTTAGTTTTCGGTACCTTAAGGAGCTGCTGATTGGCGGACCTAAGGGAACGGGCAGGTGTATATGGTTGTAGTAGCTCCGAGAGGTGGGGGGGGGGGTGGCCAGGCTATTAAGAGATTTAAAAGCAAATAAGAGAATTTTAAAAACAATCCTAAAATGTACAGGTAGCCAGTGGAGTGAAATTCATTCATTCATTTCAAAAAGTGCAGTGAAAACGCACCAGACAAATTGGTGGAACTGAACGGGCCAATCACAATACTTTTATGCTGCAACCATCCCACACTGTAAAAAAAATCTGTAAAAATACAGTATAATTTACTGTTTAAACGTGAAGGAATACATAGAAATGTACGTTTAAGGATATAAAGAACTATATTTAATGAGTTACAGTGAAAAGAAGTGCTTGGAAATAGTAATGTAAACAGAAATT